TAGGTGCATGAGTAAATGCTCTCCATTTGAACCACAAACCCTTTACCATAATAAATTAATGTTAAATTAGGAAAGATAAACTAAAATGGTCAACAATATAAAACACAAGGATGAAATTGATTAAATTCAAAAACGAAAATAAAAGTTTGGAACAAAATACAAGGACAAAAATGATATTGAATCCTTGTGGAATTGGTAGGTCTCTTTAAGCACCAGCATAACAAAGGTGTTTGGTCCACACACGTAGGAATGACCTTGTAGCACATTAATGGGCCATTTTAAATTGGTAACCCCATTAATAAACGCCATTTTCACTAAGTACTACTAATTTTCAACCCTCTTTATGCAGCCATTAGTTTTTGCTACCTTGTTTCTAGCATGTGGCTATTGGACAACCAGCGAGGATTAATATGTGTAACTAACTAATCATAAAATAGGCCTAAACTTCTTTGCAAGTACAATTCGCCTAATCCAAGCACACGAAATGAAAGTGATTGGAATATGTGGTCCAAAAAAGAAATCAAAATGCACTTTATATTTTGATACTGAAGCACAATTTTAATGCGACATGTTGGAAAGTTGTGGTAAGTTAGATGATTCCGCATTAGAGTGACTGGGAAATTGAATACATGAGTAATTGTTCTCAACTACTTGAATTATAAATCAATTATGCAAGGGCGGAACCAGGAATTTTTCAATGAGTGGGCTAACTAAAGTTATTAGCTTAAAATCTAATGATAATTTTTTTTTACTAACAGTTTCTATAGTTTTTCTAGAAATAAAAGTATACATTAAATCATATAAATCACGCTAGTTGTAAACACAAGAAAAAAAAAATCGAATTAGAGCCATATTATTCACGAAAGGGTGATTTTTATTTAGAAAAATGCTTCTCTTTTGGAGATACGTTAATGGAAAAGGATTAAAATTGATGTTTGGGACAAACTTTAACACCAAATACAAATGTGGAAGACCTTTTACTATGACTATTGGTGTTGTGGCATTGGCGAAACCATGAATTTTTAAGCAGATGTGCAATTTTGAAAGGCCAAAAACTTTTTGTAGATTGATCTAAGGCTTTTTACTTAGATTGACCTTAGGTCCCTTCATGCATTCATATCATATATGAAAATTTGTTTTATGTAAAAATATTGACTAAGTATAAAAAATGATTTTTCGGAATAATCATTTTCTCAATATAATTTTTGGCAACTTTTATTCCTTACACATCAAATAGGAAAACTTGATTTTATGGGATTTTAGTATGAAGTATATATTGACTTAATGAGTCATCATTTTTAGCCTAAATCGTATTTTGCACTAAATGAGTAATATAAAAATAAATGAAAGTAAAAGAACAAAGACATTTACTTAAATGCTGAAAATGGAAATAAGATAATCTATACACTTGGAGTGCACCACTACTAGCTAAGTAAAGGGGCAATTTGAAGCACCTACAATAGTTTTTTCGGCTAAGGAATATACTTAATAGGTCCGCCACTATGTGGTAGGATATGCAATTGTATATATAAAAAATTTTGTAGTTTAAAATATTAGGCTATATATGTTTAATTATTTTCTTCCCCAAAACCTTCCCTAGGCTACAACCCAAGGTAGTCCTTGGCCTAGTTCCGCCCCTGCTTACGATGATGCTTACCTTTTTAATTCATGTTTAGTTGCTCATATTCTTTGATGTAACTCCATTTTGATATTGTGAACTCCGTTTTAGGGGGCACCATAAAATATCTTGCTTGAGTTCTGTAGTTTTACCAAGTATCAGCTCCCACAGGTTTTTCTATTTTGTATTTCTTTGTTTTGTATGTCCAAAATAAGGACAATAACATTCCCTTTGTAATACGGAAAAATTAGGGTTGTCTCACTTGTGGATTAACGTGTTTTTTTTAAAATATATGAAATGAATATAGAGTTGGGTCCATGCAGTGTGAGCTATGGCCCTTACTGTGAAATGATAAAGAAAGTTAGCTCATTCATCTCAGGGCATATTCCCTTTCAATGCTTGACTTGGTCCCCTCCTTTTTATATTCCCTTTCATTCGTTTTATTCATTGATTAGAGAGGCAGATGATATCATGCTATATGAAAGATATGACGAAGAAATTTGACTAAAATACGAGTAATTATAGTTCCGTATATGAGCACGTTCACATGATATTATTATTTGTACACATGTTTAATATAAGTGGAAATTTATTAGTATTATACTTTAGGAACGAGAAATATCGACCGTACGATCCACCTACGTCGTTATATTCCGTACAATATAACAAGAAAGAATTAAGAATTAATCTCATAATCCCAATTTTCCTCAAAATGACAGAAAATAAAAGAAAAGAAAATCGTAAGTATAATAAACACTCACAAATTCACAACGTATAGTATTAGTATTACTGTGTGTGTAAACAAAAATAAATAAAAACAGCTTAAACGATTTTATAGTGCATTTCTCATTGGACCCATCACCACCTTTGACTCAACCGAACAGATAAACCCAATTACAATGGGCCCCGCCATGTGTCATCACCTGTGGGTCTAACTTGATATGTGATGGGCAGCGAACCGTAGATTTCTTCCATTTTTTCCTCCTAATAATAACCGTAAAAAATTTAATAATCAAATTACTCTCCCCATCACTCCTCCCATGATATTGATTTGTATATAAATTACAGAGAATATCCTCCTGAACGTGTTGTTTAAGCGCATAGAGAAAACGCTTCATTTTCAAGCTTTCCCTCCAGTCTCTGCGCTCCACTTGAACTCTGAAACTTTTTTTTGTTTTGTCCACAGCGAAATTTTCGTTGTTTCTTTCGAATTTCGAATTTCTTGTGTGATTCTATCTGGGTTTTGCTCCTTCTCAATTGGGTCTTCGTTGATTTTCGGCTTCAACATGACCATGACTGAGAAACGAGAACTTGAACCAGACCAAGCCACAACGTCCGTCGAT